CTGTAGATTTGATGACAGCCAGAATGTTGGTCAGAGCTTCTGACTGTACCAGGTGAAGATCCAGGCTCAGAGAGTTCTTAGGCTTGGGTACACATGCTTCAAGTTCCCAACAACAGATTATGAACCCTTTTGCTGTCCTGAGACCTGCTGTTCGTGGTTGGTTGGGCAACCCTGTGCCTCTGTGCTGAACTCTGCAGGTTCTCTGCTCAGAGTACAGTTCTCCCAAGGGTAAGAACAGAAAAACAGCCCTGCTCAGTCTAACTAGTAGACCTGGTATGTTTTTCTAAACATAGATTATAACATATGCTTCATGCATGTAAGGTGGCAGCTTTAGGGGGGTACATTTTCCAGTACTTTTCTCAGCCTTTCCTGATCTGAAGTTTAGAGACCTTGCTAGAAGTTATACCTTTGTTTCTAATAAATGCTGAGGTTGGTGGGGTGTCCCATGAATTTGTTTCATTGATTTTTAAATTTATTTAGGATTTTAATATCTGCAATTTATTCTAATGTTTTATTCCATTATTTAATTACCCATTCTGAAAAATAAAGTATATTCCATTTTTAGGCATTAATCAACGTTTCAGCCTTTTTAGGCATAATCAACGTTTCATTTGCTGCTCTTCCTCTCTCGTATTACTAGCAGGGGTGAAAAGCCTTTCCTATTTTACCCTTTTCAGTGTGGCACATGATGTTATGGGTTTTGTCATGTTCTTCTAAGCTATCTCTTTTCTAAACTGAGTTATCCCAGCCTAGTTCCTCACACAGATGCTGCCCTTTACCTTCAATTATCTTACTTATCACCCTTGTCTATATGTTTTCTACTTTAGGTGAGTCCGTCAGCGCTGAGAAGATAAGGCACATTTTCTCAGTGGCAGTGAGATTCCTCTCTTTCATTTAATCTTCCTAATAATTCATAATATTCTATTTGCTTTAGGCTGATGTTTTCATAGGACTGTATGTGGTTTCTCCAGTTGCAGCATCTGTATTTTAGAGTGGTAACAGCTCATCCCTGAGTATCTACAGTTAGGACTGGTTGTTTTTATTCCAGATTCTTACATTTATTAGCACTGCAGTTCATCTGCACTTTTACCATCAATCACACAGAACTGACATCTTTCTGCAATTTTTCAATCACCATTCAGTTTTACTGCCCTAAATAACCTAATGTGATCAGCTGTCATCCCACTATGCAGCCTTATACAAATTGCTGACAGCTACGTTGAACAATGCACTTCCACTAGAAATCGCTCTGCAGTGTGAAGAGTGACCATTTATTTGTATTATGTGCTTTCTATTGTCTAAGCAGTTTTAAGGAGCTTGTTCCATGTAAAGAAAGGTTTTGACTTGGGGACCTCCAAATAGTCTTTTGCAGTGAAACACCTATGTAAAGAATTTTTCTCACTTTGCTGGTGTACAGTCTGATCTTATTTGAGCTCCCCTTTCAGACCCCAATTACTTATCAGCCCTACAGACCTTCTGGCAAACTTCCTGTTTCTGATGTGCTTAAAAAACATTTTATTTTAGGTTGTCTGCCTTTAGCAAATAGCTCTTCAAAATATTTTTTTTGGCCAGGCTTATTAAATTTAACCTGCCAGAGTTCATATTCTTTTCTGATTTTCTGGCTGGGAAATGCCTTCCACTTTCAGAAGAATTTAAGAGTAATCTCCTTTGCTGTGCTGTGTATTGAAATGGTCTAGAAAAAAACTGACAACTGTAGGGAGCTTCTCTTTCTGTCTTCCTTGCCTTGCCCCCAGAAATGACCTGACATGGGGTATGTAGTTAAGGTTATAAACTAATTATTATTTTCTTTTTCTGAATTGCTTTATCTCTCTTTCACTTCCCCTCAGAAAAGGAACAAAATCGTGAAGGGAATGTTCATAAAATTCAAACCATGGAAGGAAAATATCAAAGTTAACCATTGGCAAAAACTGGCAGAAAGGAAAGGTTGGTGTAAGCATGCATGGATAAGAAAGAAAGAGTAGCATGAAGAAAGAACAGGTTGGAAAAAGTTACACTGAGAAATGAAACAGTGATCATACCAAAATAATTGTCTCTGAAATATTAAAGGTTTCAGTGCAGCTTGCACTAGAGATCAATGTGATGAGTCCTAGAAACAAATAAATAAGTTCTATTTATTATGTATTTCACCTGGACATATGTCTGAACTATATATATATTATTATCTGGACAGATACAGAGGTTTATATGCATATATGCACATGAGTGCATCTCAAAAGTGAGGAAGACTGACATGGCAAAACTTCCAGATGCTTTGACTGGACTAGACTAGCAAGCAGGTTTTCCAAACCAGAGGCAAATTTCATCCTTTGGCAGGTGCCTAAATTTCCTCACTCGTCAGTGAGGAAAGGCAGGTTCAGCCTCTTGGAAACACAGAGGTGTATATGGACATGATTACTGGGTATATCCTAGCAGTGGCTGAGCACTTCCTCCTGAAGCAGCAAAGTGTGATATTAGATTATGTCAGCACCTTACAGGATCGAGTCCCATGAGCATTTGCTCATGAGTCACACCAGGAGAGGTGCTGAATGCTCCCTGAGCAGGCTGCTCTGCACAAAAATGGTGGGTCTGTCTTGAGCCCCAACAAGGTAAAGCTTTCCAGAAATGTATTGCCAACATTAACATTTCTCCAGATTTGCAGGGAAGAGATATCTTACCTTCTGGAACTAAGCAATTATCAAACTTTAAAAATGCACTTAACATCCTTGAAAGGGAAGTGAATATAAAAAACCACATTGCTATGCATATATATAATACAGCTATTCTTACTCCAGGAGTTCTGCTGGTTTCTGAGTTCTTTGAAAGGCCAATTTGCAGTTGTAAGCATAATTTTTTAATGAGGCTTAACAATGAGAATTTTAACTTATTTTTCTGAAGACAGATCTGGATCTTCCAAATGGTTGAAATTAAGGTAAATGAAAGCATTGGTTGCTTCTGACTTGCATTTTTCGAAAGTCCACTGCACGGGACAAAGGAATAAGCAGCTGGGAGCCATCAGCACCTGGGTTACCATCAGCCCCAAAACAACATGTTTTGTAGCATGATTGTGCAGCTTTGATTTTGTTTCCAGGTTGGGTCCAAGATGTAAGATTTAACCTGTAGAACCTCCTGGAGTTTGAGCTGTAGCAACTTTACAGCATCTGCAAAGTTAGCAGCTCTTTGGCACTGAGCACTGGAGGCAGATACCATCCCTGCCCTAAACCACTCGTTATCTCTTCCACTGAGGAGTTGTACACATAGTTAAAGGCCCACATGTATCCCGAATAAAAGCCCTCTGGTCTGTCAATCTTTCTAGTTTCCCTGCCTCCTCATCAAATTCAGCTAGTTGGTGCAGGGTTCTCCATCAACCCTGTAAAGGCAGAAAATTCCTTCAGGAGGGGACGCAGGACGGTACGCGGACAGGAAAGGAAAGGCTCAGGGCAGTATGAAAGGAGATACAAAGATGTGATTAAGTTTGGGAAAAGTTACCTATTCTCACTCTAGAGAGACTGGCAACATAGGAGAATGAGGAAGAATGCACTGGTGGAGGAAAAGACCACGGGGGGAAACCTCATCACAGTTGTATGACACAGAAAAGTGACCGAAGGAGGAAGAAGACTGTACCAGGAGACACCACACAGTAGAAAGCAAAACAAAGTTATGTGGGTTAGAAAATAAAATTAAAAAAATAAATGTTAAAGAGACAAATTTTTAAAAATAGCTCAGTAGAACATGTAGACACAAAATGGTACATAAATAAACCATTTTTCTCCCTTAGGGCTGCAGTGCTCCAGAATCTAAATGGACTGTGCTCACAGCAGCTCTGTGAGAGCAGACAAGGTTATTATTTTATATCCATGGAGCTAAGGCACTGTGAAAGACAAAGTGAAACTCAAGAGGGTGCATTGGAATTATGAAGGTGGAGAAGGGGGTCTGAACTAGATGAGCATTACTGAAATGTATTCTCCCTCTGTAAATTATCAGACATTTAAAAAAAACCCTCAATGATGTAGAATATGAGGTTGGATATAAAAAGCCATTACGGTATGGCAAGGAATGTTTTTATGATTAACAAAAATATTGTTCTGCATTTTTTCCCGTTGTTGTTATGCTAGTGGACTTGACCAACAGTAGTGTAATCTGTCAGAAAAGCCGTAACAAATGCACCTGCGTAAGGCTTTAGTAACTCCAGCTCACAACACTACTTATATTTACTGAAACTTTTTTTTTTAATCTGCCAATATCAATGCAATGCATGTTCTGATACTATTGTACAATGAGCAAATGCCAATACATACTTCAAAGCTCTTCCTGGTTTTAAATCTATTATTTACTTTATGGGTTTTCACTAGTTTTCTTATCAAACTAGTCAGACTCTGCCTTGACACACTGATAACTCTTATGTTGCAGGAGCATATTGAAATATCTCATGGTCATCTTTTACATCAAGGATTTCTCTGCACTCAAACTCTTTCATAAGCAGCTTGAAGAACACAATATGGACAGGATATTAAAATAGTCTTGATCATCGTAGGTGAACTGTTTGCTTTTTTGAGAATGATATTATACTTAGGCCCCTAGAGAACAAATGAAGACTGACACAATGCAGACTTCATATGTTAAGGGTCAAGGCCCCTGACTCTCAGACGAATTATAAGCTGACACTGGTGAAAGCAGTCTTTGCTGAATCTTCTGTGAATGCAGAAGAAGCAAAGTTTGATTGAGTTCTCAGCTTCCAGCAGCAAACTGGACTGGCTGGGGGCACAGGCAAAGCAGAAATTGTCTAAGCTAGCAGGCTGCTGAGAAGACAAAATGTATGTCCCTTAACATCCCTTTCTACCCCCCCCCCCCACCCCCCCCCAATTTTGTCCATATTAGGACTGGGAAAAACAGGTTGTCTGAAACTGCTGCTGCCCCTAAAGCAGGAGTGGAAACTATTGGTAGAATGCCCAGTGCCAGCAGCTGTGAGAGCTGACTGGTATCAGTCCCAGGAGGCAGCCAGATTAGTAGCGTGGATCCTCTAGATCTTTCATTGCAATTCCCCACTTTCCTGCAGCAGGCAGGGGTGGCTCTGTCCCATCTGTTATTTTAGGAGGATTGACTGTCAATTTTGTCTGAGCCATAGAAAAACTCTTGTGCTGGCTCTAGAATAAAAGACATGCAAAATGTTTATAGTCTTAAATAAGAAATAACCATGGCATTAGTTATATTTCAAAATTCAGGGAGCATCTTTGGTATAAATGTTGTATGTGCCATGCTACTCATTCCAAAATACAGATGACATCAGCATTTCATTCTCCACTCCTGGCTATCTCAGTTTCTCTTTTTTGTACTCCAGGTTCTTTGCTGTGTATTCAACAGGTTCATATTAAAAAAAATTCAAACAATTGTCAGGATGGATGTATGGATGTTCTGCCATCACTGTCTGCATTTGAGATTTGAATCACAAAGGTGATTCAGTTTTGACTTTCCAACTTTCCTGTGTTTTGGGGATTTTTGGCTTGGTAATTTTGTACCTTTTGCTGTAGGAATTTCCAGAAACTACAAATTCTGCAGCCAAATTCAGTCTAAAAGTGGAAAATTCCCAAGGTTTTTCCACAACTGACTGATTTTTGTGCCTTGAAGTTTTGTTCCTTCAAGCTGGCAAACCTCAGACCTTAGGTGATGGAATTGTACTATTCCTTTAGGTCTCTAAATTGTTCTCTTGGTCCATCTTGTGCTTGTGCTTTTCTCTCATGTTGCAGTCAGAGTTCTTCAAATTGGCCAAATTTTATAACGAAACTGCTTCTCTGGTTTTACATATCAAGACAGTTTTTTATTCTAATTATTCAAAAGTGTCACAGTGTGTCATATTTAATCTCTCTTTTTTCATCCATATTCGGTCAGGAGTTGTATTGTGAGGCTTGTGAGGATCAGATTTCTTGCTACTTATTTCATGCTCCTTATGGCTGTTTCCTCTTTGTTATACCTCTGCAGTAGGAGAAAGAAGGAACTTTCTCTGAGTTTTGCTCAGGCTCAGTCTTCAAGGGTTGCCCTCTAACCAGTTCACATGCTTCCTTCCTCCTCCTGTTTCTGTCATATTTTTGTTTTTCCTCATACATAACTTATTCCAAGAGTAAGCAAGCTCTGACGTTTGTATGTAGGCATCCTTGCCCTTCTCAGTGAAAGCCCTTTGGGCATCATGGCTCAATGCCTCCTTCAGCTTTTGGTTTGGACAGTGGTTCCAGTTACTTCAGTTATCGTTATTGTCAAGGAGCTTGATTGGTTTTTAGTTAGTCCTCAGTGAAGACTAGATGTTTGTTTCTAGTCTCTGATGAACTATTAGAAAAATGCAATAGGGCACTCAAAAACTAAAAAATCACTTCTTTGAGTTTTAAAAGAAGAAAATAGTGGGTGATTTAAAATTAATTTTAGCTCTGTGATTAGTAGTGTATAAATGTTATTTAGGCTTTATACAAAAAAACACAGTAATTTCTTCTTTGTACCAGCCAACTAGCAACTCCCTTACACCCACTGGCACACTTAGTCACCTCTTCTGTAAATCTTCACATGTAAACTTACCCAAGGGCAGCTTTGATGAACTGGTGCATTCCCCGTGACAGTGAAAAATTACCTTCTACCTTCCCTGTAACAACCAAATATAGTGTTTGAGCCTGGCTGAAAACACAGGGTTCACCCAGAATTGTGGAATATTGCTTGCCATCTGCTTCTTGTAGGACAGGAGTTAGTTCATGCCTGTCAGGGCTAATCCTTTCCCTGCTAGTAAAATCCTCCCTTCCTGTCCATTCCCTAGTGAACCTCTGAAAATAGGAAGGAAATACTTGCCAGCCCTGTGCTTCTACAACCCTGCTGGAGGAGACACTCATGTCTCAAGACACCCTGTCCATTGTTCTTTGTCTTTGTTTTCTACTGAGAACCTGTTGGTTTTACTCTGTTTCATCTTGTTCTCCACTGCACCAGGTTGGTTTGGTGGTGAAACACTGCAAAATTATGTCACGCAACATTTAAGGGCAAACAACCAAATGCAATACTGAGAGCAAAAGGGTATAAATAAAACAATGATCAATTTGCTTCTGGTCTATACTTAACCATGACTCCTGTTTCAAGTATCCCGTGAGGGATTTATTTTGCATTGCCTAGTGGTGAGAGCAGAAGATGGTGGGTTCATAGAGCCAGCCTTCCTCCCAGCCAGTGAGCTCACTTCTGCACAACTTCTGCTTCCAAATGCCCCGTATACCTTTGGGGATGTGCTTTTGGGTGTAAATAAAAATGCCAATCATGTCCTGACTTGAGAGGGACACCTTGGATAGTTAAATGGTCATTTCCAAGTCAGCCTGGCAGGGACTTTCAGATAAATACAGCTGATTTTGCCTCCTGTGATCAGAAGTGTTGTGCACCAGGAGCCTATTCTTCCTTCCTCCTTCAGCAGTCTGCTGACCCTGCCCATGGGATCCTTTACAACTCCTCCTGCTCCACTGTGGTTATTTATACAATCATAATATCTCTATTATGAGGTAGCAGTTGTGCGTGTGTTCTGCAAGCTCCATCATCACTGGTACCTTAGTGACTTTCTACAGACATCACACTTTATTAACATGGAAAATGAATGATGTAAAATTTGTGTGGAATGAGTGCTAATGCAACTTGCACGTAATGTTTCGGAAATAGTGTCTTTTTTGAAGATCAGCTCCTCACTACTTCGCCGTGTGTCTAGATACAACGTCCATTTTCTTCTGATCTAACTGCACCGGAATTCCAGGCAACGGATGTCGCTTTTTTAGAGCTGTACCATAATTCCTTCTAAAAGAAATAAAATAATTTTTAAAAAATCCTGGTTTTACCTTATCTTGGATGTACAGTGCTCCTGGTTCCCTGCAGATACAGTCTCCCTTGTTACAGAAGAAGCCCAGACACTGATTTTCAAGATACAGTTCATTTTAGACTCTATTGATGCAATAGGCATTGGTTTTGGCTGCCTTTAGAGAACAGAATTTCAGCCAAGCAGAGCTGATGTTGTAATCTTGGATGGTGATGGCATTGTGATTGTCTAGTGAGCCTTCCCAGGGATTAGCCTGCATCTCTGGGTTTGGGCACAATTATTTTCAATATGACAAAATTACTGGTGGTGTGGAAGAAGGACATGGCTATAGCTGAGGTGGATTTAGATCTTTCTCAGCCATAAGATGTTTTACTGTTTGCATCACATTTTGCTTTTTAAAAATTTTCAGTCAGTGGAGTTGAAGGTCTGATTGTTTTTCAGGATAGTGTACGAATTCAGCAGTGCAGAATTATTTATCTCTTTATTTGCAGCACTTTTAGGAAAAGAGGCAAACATGTTGGTTTTTAAAATTATGCTACAACAAACATCACAACACATTTTCTAATTTTATAAAACCACTGGTTGTGAATGAAGGACTTATCCTCTCTTCCACTCTTTCATTATTTTTTTTTTTTAATATAGCTTGGTGGTCCTCTTCCCTTCCCTTACCATCCCTTCCTTTCTCCTCTCTTCTCCTCATCTCCTTACATCTGTATAAATTAGCTGTAAACTCATGAATATTATGCAATTCATTGAACAATGTGATTCAAATGCAGTATGTGTGGGGTCTTTTTTTTCCTCTTTGTCACTCCCACTAATGAGGGGAAGAGCTCATGATTTTAATGTGAAGCTCAACTAATTGTCATCGACTGTCTTATCAAACAAGAATAAAATTAGGATGATAAAGTATATGCAAAGCAGAGAAAAGGGACAGAAAGTGGAAACCGAAGAAGAATTTTTTCCACCACTAATGGCTTTGCAGTTGGTGGCCACAAAAGCATCTTTTTAAACTGTATTTGCTTGCTGTGGTGGACAGACCAAAGCAGAAGAGAGCTAGGATCAACAGCTTTCTCAGGCTTCCCAGCTACAGACACTTTCTGAACCACTTGATATAGCTACATACTTTGTTCCTCAATTACCACAGCTTTCTGTTCCAATCTTTGGTTTATTCACATCCAGTGAACTTCATTCTCATTTCATTTTTCTGAGATTTACATTTTTAGTACCTAGCTATTTTTAAAAAAAGTTTCTTTAACTCATGTTATCTAGCCAATTGAACTTGGGCTTTTAAAACAGACAACTGACTATTCTTTCTTTAAAGAATTTGAATAGCCTTTTTTCTTTTCCTTTTTTTAAATTTTATTTTTAAATAATCTGGTGCATGGTGCTACTGCATTTGCAGAGTTTGATCCAGAAGAATCGAAGCACATGCTTAAGGAGAAGAATGGTATGTGGTTCATGAACCCCATAATTAGTTCCCCTTCCTAGCTCTAAGCAGTAATTAAATCTGTCACTTCTGCTCTGCTGATTCATTTATTTAGCTATTTAATTGCTCAGCTGAATATGTCTTTATCTCCGGAACTGCAACATTTTATTCAGACAAAGAAATAGTATAATCCATTATTGGTGGTTTTTTTTTCCGGGAGCAGGGACATGTGAAAGGAAAGAGCACCAATACTAGATGATTTGGTGATGTTGTCAGTTTTCACTTATCAAACAAAACACTGTTTAAGGGAAAACTTTAACTAGTGCTTGACGATAGCTTTCCATACACAGGCTTATTTCTCAAAAAAATTACGTCAAATGCCAGGACCCAATGTATCTGATCCAGGTTTCCATTTCCATCATGAGTTAACTTAAAGCACTTCCAGGTAACAGTCACACTTTTATATAAAACAAGAAGTCTTACCCTGATCTATTACTGGAACATTTTATAAACAGTTCAAAATTGCAAATAGAAAATAAAATATTTGCAAACTAAATAGAATCTTCTCTTTATACATTTTAATTTGGGGACATTGTTCATGGAGATTTCTGTCACCTGTGTCTTAGATTTATCATCAAATAACAGCATCTTGATTTGTAAAGCAAATGGCTTTTTGAATACTTTCAAACTTGCAAAGGAGAGCCCGTTCTGAATACCTGTTGTCCATCCATGTATTTTTCCTCATGTTACATGTTCAGCATCCTTAAAGGAGGTTCCAAGATTCCTGCACCATCTTTATTCCTAGGCTGAAAAAGCTGGTGTAGAAAAGCAGCATGCAAAATGAGGACCAAGTCAATACACATCAGATCAAGCAGGGTCTCTTGGCAAGAAAAGGAAATACTGTTTATGTTTATAACTTTTTTTTTTTCTCCTGTCTCTGAAGTCTGTAATGATAGCTGATCCAGGAAGTGAAAGACAGTAAACCCATCCAAAATTCAGAGAAAAGGATATTTTTCTTTCACTTCTGGCAGCAGTGGCTCAGTTCTGCCAATTTATTCATCTAGCCTGGCTGGCTAGATTTTTATACCATGCACACAATCTTACATTTCACTCCATTAGTGACTTATTTTTGCTGCCTTGTTACTCAGTTACAACTATGCAGTTACTTAAGTCATAGGTCATGTTTTTCCCAGGTAAGCTCATTATTCTAGAAATCTTCTACTGCTTACCCAGAAGGGTTTTTGTAGTTGAGGATTATTTCTTCTTTTTTTTTTTTTCCTTCAGTGCAGGCCCTGTCCACTCCTTTGCAATGCGAAGCATTTCTGTGCTGCTGCTGGGGACACCCAGCTTGGCCCTGCTTAAAATAAAAACAGGATCCAAGGTAAAGAGCAGCCAGTGGAACTAGCAGGGTTTATTAGCCGCATTATTGCAATACCTTGCAAACAGAGCCAGGCATCCTGCCACACCTCTGGCTGCTCTGCTGGGCTCCATGGGCCTCCACCCTGCCTGTGCCAGGACGGGGTGCTCTGCTTTGCTCTCCCCCATCCTCGGGGAGGGCTCTGTCACCCCGGGGGCCGTCAGCTTTGGCCTGACAAGGCTCAGTCTGTACTGTTTATGTCAGTGTTGTTGTTCTGCATCTGCGCACTCTGGGCTACTGAAAGCTCTTTGTTGAAATAAAGAGTATTTCTGTCCCAGCAAAAACTAGGAAGTCTGGAAATCTTGCGGGCAGTTTTGTTCTGTGCCTGTGATTTTTGGACTAGGGTCTCGCATGAGCTTTACTTCAATGTTATCTCTTTGAAATGTGTTTGTGTTTTTTTTTCATATGATCTTCTAAAAGTACACTCTTTGTTTTATGTAGGGCACGTGCTTAAGTTCAGGGAATTACTAAACCAGCAAAAGACATCTCTGGACATCCTTTGAGGGTAAGGGTGCTTTGAGGATAAGCCTGTATGTGAACGGGTTTTGTATGAAAAAGCAGGGTTCACTGCAGAAGGACAAACAAGTGTGATCAGAGGAGGGCATGGGAATGAAATGGAAAAAATAACAATTATTTGTAGTAGAAGTTTATTATTGGGTTGGCGCAAACCAAACAGAAGAAACACAGGGATAACTTCACATGGCTTTTATCTCAGTTCTAAAAGAGCATGAGGTCAGTCAATAAGATTAACTACTTTTGCGTAATTTGCACATAAACATCGAGACATGAGAGCTCGAGGGACATCAGTCGAGTGCCCTCCCTTTGCGGTGACCATCAGCTTCTCCTCATATGAACCTATCTGTAGTCATCCTGCCATCAACAGACTAGAAATCACCATCTCAAAGGCATTGCAGGAGTTTACAAACAGCCAAATGGGACCAAGCCACTCCCTTCTCCCACTCCACCCTGCACTTCCCATGCCTGAGCAGACAGCGTCCAGCAATTTGCATGGTGTGAACTGGAGGTTTGTAAAGTGGTGCACAGGGTCTAGGTCCAGGCACTGTTGCTGGAGGCGCTCTGATGGATCAAGTGTGTTTTGGGTTTTTTGGGGTTTTTTTGTTTGGTATTCTTTTAGTTTTCTGCTCTAACTCACTGGGTAGTTAGAAACTTCAGCCTGGAATTTCTCCTGCCAGTGCTGAAATGTGCTGGTGTCCAAGTCACATTAGATTAAATCTCCAGTTTTGATACCAATTCACCTGAATCTGTACTTTCTTCATGTACTGATTTACTTACTGACATGTAGGGAACCTCTTGTGAACGTTTTAATTTAGAGAAGTCGTTGCTTAATAGTTGTTGTGCAGTGTGATGTATCTGTGGGGCTGGAGGCTACCTCTGGCCAGCCCTGGTCACTGTGCTTGGTTATTTATATAAGGTGCACAGGCTTGGGCACCTATAAATACCAGCGTGCAGCTGTCACAAAGGGACTGTGAGGGCCATTTTGGACCTCAAAAACATCATAACGTGGCACCCTGAGACACACCGCTCTGAGAACCTATTGCAAGGGAGAGGGTAGGAAGGGGGCGACCACTTTTACTGTTGGTCTCTTTATTTTTTTACATTATTTTGCCTCCTTTGTACTCCTGGTCTACATCAGCTCTTTACAATTTTTATCACATTAGGATATGACATTCCTGGCCTCTCCAGGGCTTTTGTTTGGGTATTTATAGCAGCTTCTGGTCATTGTTGAGCAAAGGAGATTGCCCTGCCCTCTGGCCCCTTTCTTAAGCAGATTTTGGGCAAGAAGCTCCTCTCATGTGGCACTAATTGCAATGATTGGTGGAGGGGGTGTCGTGAGCGCGCTCTGGCTGAGTCGGGCTCATCTGCCAGGGGCTGCGCCAGGGAAGGGAAAACGGGGAGAAGGGAGGACGGGAAGGGGGGGAAACAGGAGGGGAAGAAAAAGAAGCGGGAGGGAGGAAGGAAGGAAGAAAACAAACAAACCAACCAACCAAAGCAGCCCGGTTTGGCTGTGCTGTGGCAGGGCTGCCGGCCGTGTGCCTGCGCTCGGGCGGGACCCGGCGGGAGGCGGCCGCGCTGCGCACCCGCGCAGGGAGGGAAGAAGGGAGCGGCGCGGCGCGGCGCGGAGCTCCGCGGGCCGGGGGAGCCCCTCCGCAGGTGGGTAGCGCTGCCCCGCGCAGGGGTGCGGGGGGGGAAGAGCCCGCTCCTGCCTCCTGGAGTTGCTGCGCGGGCGAGGAGCGGGTGCTGCCCGCCTTTGGGGTTGGGGGTGGTCGTGGGGGTCGCCCCGTTTCGGGCTTGCGGGAGCCGCGCTCGCTACTTCGGCGGGGGCTTTTGAAGGGCTTGAGTTTTGCTTTTCTCTGTCTCTCTCTTGCCTGCCCGGGACGGGGCTGCGGTGGAGGCCAAGTCGTTAAAAGATTGAAAGCAACAAGTTGCTGTGGCGCTGGTTTGGGCGGCGGCGGGGCCGTCTCGTCCCCCGCCCGCGCTGGGACGCGGGGTAGGGGCTGGGAAGCGGGGGGGGCCCCCCGGGAGAGTGACCCCCCCCCCCCAGGCGAGCAGCCCGGGGGTTGCATGGGGTAACAGCATCTCTTGGGGGGCTGGGGGGGGGGTGTGTGTCCCGCTTCCTGCAGCCACTCGTGGTGAATGAAGAGTTTCTTGCGAGTTGAAAGCGGGATGGGGAGAGGCGGGATCCGGCCTTTGCCAGGGAAAGCACAGGGGCTGCGGGGGGACTGGAAAGGCGGAGGGTAAGAAGTTTCAGACCGGCGGGAAAACCGGCGTTGCTCTCAAAAGTAACCGGGCTGGAGCGGTGCCCCCCCATGTTTTGGAGGGGTTAGCTTTGAGAGTTGCTTGCTTTTATTGAGCTGGTAACGTTTCTGGTTGCTTGTTGAGTTCTAAGTAGCTGATGTGAACAGTCCAAGTAAACAGTTGTGGTTTTGTTCTGTGTGGCGTTCGGTGGCGGAAAGGGAAATGCTGAAGTGTGTGCTTCTTGAGTAAAAGTTGGAACATAGACGGTAGCTTGGTGATAACAGTAAAATGAGAGACTGGACTTCGCACCTCACTTTTACTACTATTATTATTAATATTTTTATTATTATTTATGATAATAATTTTTATTAATAATAATTATTTTTTTTAAGATGCAAGAAGTTTGGGCACTGTGCGCCCAAATCTCTTTAATACGTCTGCTAGGTTGTCCTATGACACTCAGGGTGGTTGTGTTGCATGGACAGCTTGCGTTTCTGTTTCTGATAACCCTGCTAGTATTGCTGGAAAAATAAACAACGCGTGTTAACGTTGTGTTTTAACAGCTCTTCTGTATAGGCAGCAAAATACAGTCATAGCTGGAAGTTGTTCTGCATATCTATCTTCAGACGTTGAAAAAGATATTAAAAATAGCTGTTGGAAATGTGTGTAACATCCAGTCTACCTGTAGGTCTTGTTTGTTTCTTTGATATGTGGTTTTAGAATAGTAAAAATGGAGTTGAGCAGCTGGGAATCCACTTGTCCGCCTTTTATCCCTACAAAGATCCCTGGTACAGCGCTCGTGAACTGTCGCTGAGGATGGTTCAAAATGGAATCCAGGCATCGGCCATGTTAAAATCGGGCAAGAGTTCATAAAAATAAACTAAAAAATGGAGGCTTGTCTACTCATAAACTTATATCATCATCTGTTCATCTACCTAGTAGTCTACTCCTTGTGTTCAAGAAAAGAAGAAAACTTGATTGATCGTGTGGTCATTACTCAATAACTTCTTAATTTATAATCGGGTGAAGAAAACTTTTTATACTTTCCTTACAATCTGAAATGGCAGGTTTCTCACAAAAGACCTTGTGTCCTTCCCCTCTCTCATCTGTGTCCATGCTGCAATAGTAAGTCCTCAAGAATAAAGTGTTTGTTTTACTGCTTCTGTTCCTTATCACTCTTTATCTCCAATTTATGCTGGCCTGGATATTTCTGTAATACTGAAATCAGTTGCCATTACTTCCTTCAAGGACCATATTTAAACACATCTATAGAGTGTGTGCAGCATAATAACGCATGGTGACATGGATAGATTCATTTTATTCTTGCGTGGCTCAATATATTTTTCTCGTTCCTGCAGAGAAGCTAGAAACATGATGAACACTCCATTAGTGGTATTGGTAATAAAATACATTGATGTGAGTGCACAGGCAGTTAGAAGGAGCTTTGATTTGAAAGCCTTCTCATAACAGACATCGTACTAACAATCTTAATGTATAACCTGTGCTGCGTATCTTCAGTGCTGGATTAGATTTGCTTTTAGGTTGTTTGTAAATACAACTTTTGTTCAGGATAACTGAATTTCTACCAGCTGCCCAGGCTCCTTGTTTGTTTTCAGCCTTCACAGGCTCTGAATGTCACAGGAATTTGCCAGGCAGAGGGCTGGGTGTGCATGGGATGGGCGTTTCAGGATGCAGCTCTTCTCAGAAATCAGCCTTGGTATTGTGGGGCACTGAGGTCTGATATTAATGTGAAGTGAAATGTGGTATTAAAAATATAAGTCAAACCCAAAGACTGCTGTGTTGGTTGGATACCCAAGAGCAAGCTGGAATAGCCTTCTCCAACAGATAACTGCAGATGTGGTGAATGCCTTCTGCAAGCCATGAGGGGAGCACTGAGTTTTCTGTGTGGGAAGCTGCTTGCCATGGAGCCATCAAAGGGCAGGAGGCTGTTCTAGCTGAGGCACAGTGCATCACACCCCTCATGGTGCTCCATGCTGGGGGAAGCAGGACAGGACACGGGTGAGCACGGGGTGAGCTGGCCCTCCTACTCCGGAGGGCTGGGAGGCTGGAGCCAAGCACACTGGGCAGAGGCTGCTGCAGAGGGACCCTGCAGTGGGGCAAGAGTAGTGCACGGCTGCAGGAAGCTATGCAGAAGCTTGCAAAGATAATGGGGGGCACAGCTGCAGCCACAGGTGTGTGTGGCAGGAGGGTGGCAGAGTTGTTTGCAGGAGGGAAGGGTTTTGGAGTGGCAGGTGCTGAGGCAGACCACATGGTGGTCATGGCATTGATGTTTTGTGGGAGGCAGGGAGGTCAGCGTTGTGATGGAGCAAGAGGAAAAGCAAGCTGGTTGCCCCAGGAGCAGTCAGGAACCAAAGCTCTTAATGCTTCCATAGGGAGACTTTGCCCCTGGATTAATAGCCCAGTTTGGGTGCTTTGGGAATAAAGAGTCAAGACTGGGAAGTTACCATCAGCATTCCTCCTCATCTTCAGGGACCAAGGAGGAAGTATTGGGCAGCTGAGCCGAGGTGAGATTAGGTGCAGCAGTGGTAACTGGGGTGCAACGGGAGGGCCAGCAGCCATGAGGCAGAGAGGTGGTAAATAATTAGCCTTTTCTGTTCTGTATGTAAAACCAGAAGACAAACAATTACAGTTTAAAGCAAAATCTAAGGGTTGGAACTCATAATGGATCTGTAGCACTCATCTGTTTACTCTTGTTGTTTCTCTTTTTCCAAAGATTTTCAGTTAGTGAGGTCTCCATCTTGTAACACCACCATGACTGGAAATTGTAGAATGTGCAGAAATGTTTTTTCCATAGACTTTGCAAGGTAATTTTTCTTTAAAAAGAGACCTTGTTGCACTTTTAATAACACATACACTTGGTTGCATTCATTTGCTAAGCAACAGACTCACTGTGTTGCCTATGAAGCACAAAAGCATGAGAAGCTTAGACACGTGAAGTAGAGCTTACGTAAAGTTCATGAGCAGCAGCAGCATGAGTGATGAATTCTCTGGGTTTTGTTCCTTACGTTAAAATATTTTAAGGTTGGGTATTTTTCTCGGCTGGCTGCCATCAGCAATAGAAGTATCAACAGGAGAAAAATGGGTCGCTTGGGTTTTAGCATTAAGTAGCAAATCCAGGGCCAATAGGATTTAGCTGGGATGTTAAGGTTTATTCAGTGCATTTAGTTAATGAAGTTGGGTGGGGGGGGAGGTGGGGAAAGGATAGGAAAAAAAAGTCAGTGTCTGGTGTTGGGGGAGGGGATGAAATAGCCTCCTGCCACCGTGTGCATCCTGTGGCGACTCCTCCTGATTGATAGATGCTGTACCAAACAAAAAAGAACTGAGTGAAGGAGGTTTTAATTAAAAAATACCAGGCTAATGCCAGCTTTTTTGGATTAAAATCAAGTAGAAAATCTTTGTAATGGACATCCATCTAAGGGTGTATGTTTTTATGGCGTGTAGCGTCCATCAGCTAGAGGGAGGGAAGAGGAAGATGATAATATGTCCTATAAAGAGGTTATAAAGCCACGAAAATATTCAGCAAGTGCAGTCGTATGTTAACATTCATCAGCGAGGCACAGAAATCCATTTCAGGCTGACAAAATCCCCTTGAGCAGTATGCCAGATTTCTAGCAGACAGCCCCATCATCCCTGACGTACACGGGAGGCCCTTTGCTGTGCTCACCCCGGTTCCGAAGCCTTTGTTGTGTCCCCTGCCAAAGTCTGTCGTGTTGTGTACACACATGCTGTTCAGCATCTTGACTCACGTTCTGAGCCCTGAAAACCTTCAGCACAGAGACAAAACACAATTAGTGTAGAAAGTAACTCTTATTTTAAATGTAAAGGGTTATTATCGATACTTTTTTTTTAAAAAAAAACCATGTACTGACATGATTGGATCTTCTTCTAAGGACATTAAAGTATGCATTTTTATTTATTTCATTTTTTAAAATGCTGTTCCTCTGCAGACCAGACTCCCACTCAAATCGGACCTTCTCCCCCCTCCCCCGGCTGTTGTAATTTAGAATCTGATGAACTTTGTTATTCCACCCGCCCCCTCAGGTTCATGCTTGACGTCGTAGCTAGACACTGTTGGGATTCATTGAGCAGTGATTAAGATTGTCAAGACTCAGCCCAGTGACCTCAACAGACTTTCCTTCTGAGAAGGATGTGGGTATCGGTGGCAGGATTTGACTGTAACAGTATGGAATAAATAAGCAGTGGGTTCATAAAGTGCGTAACGAGTCCAGGTACCTGTTCTCGGCATAATCTACTTGCTCAGTCTGTGCTTGAGACAAGTGTGTAAGGAGGATGCTACAGCATTTCTTAGTAGGATTTCTTGCAGTGTCACCTGAGAACTTCTACAGATTGTTCAGACAAAAACCTGAATATGTAATTTTTTTTTGTTTCTTTTTGACATCATAAACTGTTTAAGACCTTTTCAAATAACATTTTTATTTTTTTTTTAAGTTACAAAAAACCAGTTCTCTTCTCTGCCGTGTTCTTTACTGCTTTATTTCTGTTAGAGTCACAGTATGTTTACTGAGTAACTTCTGCCTATAATTATAAACTAGCTGGGGACATGTCTGTAAAAAGAAACAGGGAATAATTTCACTTAAGTAGTAATAGAAATCCCAGAAAAACCAAACAAAAGCACTTGACTGTGATGCTTAAAAGTGAGGCTTTATGAAGGTTTAGCCAAGTTTTAGAAAATGAGGCTGGCTGTGTCGGAACTGCAGTCTTGGGCAAACAGCAGAATTCTGGGCGGTTGCATACAGACCAAATGGAGCTCTAGAAAAAGATTTCTGTCATTTTTTTAAATACAAAT